GCCCAGCGGATCAAAAATCTTGGCCAGCTGACTTAGAAGTTTTCTTCGGGTCACGATATCCGAATCATCTTCTTTAAAAACAGACACAGAAAACCAGTCTTCAACTGGATTCCACGTCACGCCTAAAGTCTTCACAATCGTCTTCGTACTGTCATCCGTAACTTCGAAAGAGTTTCCTTGTAGTGAATTAGGAACATCTTGCAGAATATCGGAGTGGTTTGCGCACCACTTGTGAGCGCCAAAGCAACCTTTTGCTAACAGACTTGTCACTTCTCGTTGCAATTGACACGCTTCAGCTAGAGTATCAGCACCCGTCAGGATGTCGTCCATGTACGTACCCTTTTTGATGACCTTGGCGGCTTCCGGAAATTCGTTCTCGTGATCCAGGGCTGTTTGCTTGAGCGCCATGGTAGCTTGAAATGGTGATGATGCCAGACCATACGTGACCGTCAGTAGCTCGTAAACGGTCAGAAAATCATTTCGATTGTACCGCCAGAAAATTCGCAGGTAAGGATGAAGGCGAACTTGTCGAAACATCTTGGGGATATCCAGCGTGAAAACGTACTGAAATCCTCTAAATCGAAGTAGGATGGTGACGAGGTCCTTCTGGATAGTTGGCCCTGTCATCAGAACATCGTTGATCGAAACGCCCGTAGACGTTCTAGCCGATCCATCAAACACGACTCTTAGTTTGGTCGTCGTACTGGTGGGCCTCAACACGCAGTGGTGTGGTAAATAATACACCGAGTCAGGTTTCTCGCTCGGATCCTCCTGTACCTCTCGCATGTGTCCGAGCTGCTCATATTCTCGTAAGAATTGAGAGTACTGCTCTTTAAGTTCCGGCTGCTTCTCAAGTTTTCGCTCCAGATTCAGGAACCGCTTCAGGGCCATCTCACGCGAATCGCCCAATTCGTGCTTGCGTTCGTTGAAGGGATGCTGTACAACGTATCTTCCTTCCTCTGTTCGTTGGTGTGTGCGCTGAAAATGATCCAAGCACTTCTCGTCATCCGCCGTGGGAGATAGGCGGATCTCGTCGCAGGCTTCCACCTTGTAGAAACTTTTCAGCAGTTCGATGAGCGGCTCGTTTTCCTCGGAAATCTGGCAGAACGTGCGTGCAACAATAGGGGCATCGTTCGCGATCATTCCTCCAGCAATCCACCCTAGCTTGGTGCTGGTCAGCACTGGAAGATTTGGGCCGAGTTCAATTCGGTCATTCTTCAGCAGATCCCAAAAGTATTCAGCGCCGATAAGCATATCGACACGTCCTCGCTTATAGAATGTCGGATCGGCCAGCTCTTGTTTGCTCGAGATAGGCCATTCCGAAACATCAAACGATTTCACCGGCAAGTCACCAGTGATCCGGGGGGTTACCAACAGGTCCAGGCCAACAGTGTAGCTTCCGTGACACGACTTAATGGTGGTATGCAGCATACGGCGAATTCGTGTATTATTGCCGTTCAGTCCGCTAACTGTGTAGTCAGCAGGTTCCAGTTTCAACGAAAGAAGGTTTGCAAACCGCTCCGTAACGAAATTCATTTGCGATGCGGAATCCAGGAGCACTCGGCAAGGGTACGGAGTGTTGAACAAGCCATGGGCCAATACCACGGCAGTCGATAGCAGAGTCTGCTTCTGTGTACCACTGACACATGCGCACAGAGTCGTCGTCCCCGCTCGGTTGCTGACGTTTGGATCCCCCTCGGATTTCACAGCCGGTGTCGCTGGATCTTCTGCTGGTTTCGTAGCGGTGGAAACTTTGCTTGAAGTGTCCTCGACGTGTAGCAAGGTGTGATGCTTTTTTCCACACTCACGACAGGAATGTGTCGAGGAACACGCACTGGTACGATGGCCTTTCGTCAGGCAATTGAAACAGGAACCGCACTTTTTCAGCACATCGTATTTTTCACTAACACTTTTGTTCTTGAATGTTTCACATCTCCATAGTTCATGGTGTGCCTTGCACACTTGACACTTATGTTCATTTTTCGATTCACTTGTTGACACTAGCGTGTGGCTCTTGGCCACTGCTTTTGTTTTTACACTCTCCGTCGTCGGCTTCGTGTCGATTTTCTCATATATTCGACACTGTTCTTGTAAGAATTCCAGCGTGGCAACATAGGTCGGCAGAACTTCCTTCTTCTGTCGAGCCTCCCAGGCGACACGTAGTTTTTTGTCCATCTTCGCCGCAATGAGATTTACCAGCATCTGTTCCCCAAGCCCAGCGACTGGCAGATCAAGATTCTTCAAGGCCTCCACGTTCTTGGTGCACGTGTCGGTCATTTTCCTTATGTTGGCTGCATTTTCTTGTCCAACTTTCGGTAGGTTGAACAGGTTCTCGACGTGCTTGTCGATAATGATTCGCTTGTCTTCGAATCTCTGCTTAAGTACCATCCACGCAGCATCATAGTCGTTGTTGTTAACTAGATCCTGGTCAATGATACCAGCCGCTTGCCCAACAAGGCAGTTCCTCAGGTGGTACAATTTCAATGCTGGGTCTTCCTGCTGATACCGGTCCATGACGGTGGTAAACATGGACTTGAAGGAGTACCACTTCTCATACGACCCGTCGAAGGTCGGCAAGGGCACTTGTAACGGTGGAAGATAGGGCTGAGCCGGGAACATCAACTTCTGGAATGATTTCTGGAGTGCATCCGCCGAAGGAACGCAGGTGAGGGAGTTACTGCTGCAGCTGCCGCTCGCTCCATCGACATGCTCAGTTGCATCACCACGTCATTGTAAAGCGATTCAAATTCGATGTATTTCTCGATTTGTTCCGCTCGACGTTCATCAGAGAGGGGTAGCTCGTAAATCTTGTTCTGAAACTCATTGTACTCGCGGTAACAATGCTCCACCGTCTTTTGGTGAAGCTGCAGAAAATGGATGTTCATAATGTTCGGATTCGGTTCTTCAGCACTATGCCGTAAAGCACTTCTCACTCGGGTTAACTTCCCCTTCACTGCCCCTCTCTGATGAACCAGCACTTTTATTTGATCTTCCATTTTCTTCGCTTCTTCTTTTTGCTTCTGTTTATTTTTCTGTTCGCTGATCGGTGTTCTCGGTGTAATAACTTTTTTAACCGGCGGTGTTAAAAACATCTTCTTTTTCTTCCTTCTGAAGATTCACATCACTTCGATCACGCGCCATTTGCAAAAAATACAAAGATAACCAAAAAACACTAAACACGTCCAGAAGGATTCATTTCTGTGGCGACTTTACCACGCCATTTGCAAAAACAATTGTCAGACTGTTCTTATTTCACTTCCAGCGTCGATTAGGAAACTTTTCCTCCAGAGCGACCGCCATGTGCAAAAGCAGCTAGCGCTTCGCCACACTCGACCGACAGCAACGGACGAATGTTCAATTTCTATTTTTCACGTGAAAAAACAACACTGCCTCGAACTTGCACCGATCACTAGCAGATCCGGATCGATGGACCACAATGTTGCTTCAATTAAGTGGACTGTATTTGTTATCGGGAATTCGGAATCCGGATTTTCCTTTCCGAGAAGAGAAAAAACGCGACTCGTCATCTAGAAAGATTAAACGTCAATGTTTTATTATTGTTCTTGTCTGTCGTACAAAGGTGTGTAGAGTCTAGTTTGCGTTTGGTGCACAGAGTGTACCTACGGTTGTTGATCGTGTGTGTATTAGAGATGCTCAAGTAGCCGAACAATGGTTTTTAATTGAAAGTGATGGTCGACAGCTTCGACGTCACTTGACGACTTTCGATTGAAAGTGACTTTATTGGGCCCTGCTGAGTACCTCGCTGAGTACCAATGCTACCGACACCAGGAAGCCAGCTCCCACACCTGGACCCTGCCCATTGACCCATCAACTCATGGACCGGGGACCAACGGCTTTACTTCCCTTCCGAATACGTGATCAGATATGTATGCCTCAGAAAATCCTGGCGGCGCCGACCCAGACCCTTTGGAGTGAGAGGCAGTCGCTGAATACACATGCTTAAACATTTTCAAATGTTTGGGTTCTGTTAGCTCAAGTAGTTTTAGCACGGTAGGGTCAAAAACTCATTTTTTTATTTCTAGTTTTACACAAAAAATTGTATTATTTTCAGTATTCAATTTAATTACTTTTGGGTCAAATCAGATAATTTGATTGTATTTATAAACGTTAAAAATATAACACGTAGAATCCGGCTCCAGTTTAAATGGAAAATGTCTGGCCCACCAGCTTATATGGATCTAACATGATTTAAAGCTATAAATAAAAAGAAAAGTCCTCTCCAATGACTAGATTTAATCATTTGAATAAGGTTGAATGTGTTCTGAAATTATTTTTGAGAAAAATATGCTTTAAAATGAAGGTAAAGGTTTAACCGAACGTTCAGCTGTTGAGATTTCGGAAAAACATTACCAAACATAACAATCATTTCTGAACGTGCAAGCCTAATTCAATTGCTCCCTTGTTCAAATTTATCTGGATTTGGTCAATCGCGAAGTAGCAACTACGAATCTTACGGTCATCAATGCTCATGATCGTACTACCGAAGACGAAGACCACATAAACACAATATTTAATGTTCCTTTTTTTTCTGGCATAACTTGAATAATCACTTGTCCTTAACTAAGCGTTCTTTAAACACTTCTATTGCTTGACTGTTGCTACGTGACAAGCACAATCTGAAGCCCAGGAGAGAAAACTTCCAACCTGAAAAGGTTGTCGAAAGTTCGGAGAATCCATCCGGCTGCCTGTTTGGCTTGGTGTGATTTATGACCACTTCGCAGAGGAGAGCAGCATCGTTGCCATCTAGCTGCTTCGGGAAAAATCAGATGAAACTCCTTTTCAACGAAAGTTGTGAAAATTTCGTTCGCAATTAATTTATTGCTGGATAATGATTTAACCCTGAGCAGTGAGCACGGAAATAACAAATTAGTCTTAATTTCTGTTCCTCGCGTAGTTTGTCCTCGTTTGTCCATGCGGTGGTTGCATTAAACTAGGGCACATCATCTTCATTGCATGGTGTAACGTTTCCTTTCCTTCAGGTACCGATCTATGCCGCCCATCTTTACGACGCAGTGCTCATCTATGCCCGCGCTGCCACCGAAGTCATCCAGGCTGGAGGCAACCTGCACGATGGAAGACAAATAATGCGCCATATTTTAAACCGACCGTATCATTCGATACAGGGATTCGATGTCAGTACACGTGCTATGGGTTTTGGGACAGTTTTTTTTCAAAGTAGTTCTCTCTGGAAACAGGTCCATATAGACGAAAACGGTGATGCGGAAGGGAATTTTTCAGTCATCGCTCTGCAGAAAGATGAGATTGTGAATAATTCGCTCAACAAGTCGATGCAACCCGTTGGGATGTTCGTGTATAGCAGCAACAGTACGCATCTACCGGAGTTCAAGTATAGTTCACAGCGGCCAATAATGTGGGTTAAAGGACGACCACCATTGGCTGAGCCACCGTGTGGATTCCATAGCGAGAAATGTCGCCTGATAGCGCGCGACTGGCGGTACATAAGCGGAATAATGATGGGCACGCTATTTATCACCATACTTGCTGTCATACTCTTCAAGTAGTATTTGATTTTGATTAGTTTTAGGTGGATTAATTATATTAATTCTAGATGCATTCATATTTGTAGACATTATCGATACGAACAGACGTTGGCATGTCTCTTGTGGAGGGTCGAAATGAAAGACGTTACCATTATAAGCTCGCCCGATTTGATGTATGGCAATGATACGAAAAAGAAGCTGGTAAGAACTGATGGGCATCAACTTGTCTGTTAGATAACTGAGCCTCTCTTTTGCAGACACAGGTTTGCAGGCAAAGTATCCTGGCAGCCGGAGCAGACACAACCAAACGTGCCTTTACAAACATCGGTAAGAGTTTTTTAGGGTTCGTACATCATAATGGAGCAGGCTTATTCTTGTATAAGTGTGTGTATCTTGTATAAGTGGTATCGGTACGCGTGGCTTTGGGTGGCTGACATCAATGAATTAATTGGGTTAGGATTTCCAAATAGTACCCTTCAGCAGGGCCTGTTTCTCTTTTCGATCTTATGTCTTCCTACACTGAAAATAAAATTTAGTTCATTCAACGAACGCGCTCGTTTGTGCTACGAATCTATTCGTTGTTATTGCGCGTTTCACACCAAATTGGACTAATAAGCGCGTTTTCACTTATTAAAAAAGTGTGATTAAACTGCAAGTTTACGTCAAATCGTCTTGGTGTCTTGGGTGCACTTATGCCTTATGATGCAAGCAATAAGTGCTCCGAAGACATCAAAACGATTGGACAGAAACGTGCACTTTTATCACACTTTTTGCATTTTTGGGACAGTCCAGTTTCAGATGCAATCAGCAATATCTGCAACGAAATAGATTCGTACTTTGTAAGAATCTAGTTTCGTTTAGATTCCCAAAATCGTTTACTTCGTAATATTCGTGTATTTTACGAAGCGTCGTCAGGCTCACTACGATTGATTCATAAGATAGGTACCTACGAATTATTCGTGCGAAAAAATGCATGGACTGTAAATAATACGAAGCATTCGTATACTACCAAAACAATATCGTTCATTGTACGAAAATAAAGGCAAAGGGAAATGAAAATATCTTAAAAAATAAAAATCAATAATGTTCAGAAGTCAAAGTAAAAACTTTATTGACATTAATTAGCACAGGAGCACTCGCAGAAAATTCGAAATCATCATCTTTCTCTTGCAGTGTTCACTCGGCTGCCGACAAAAGCAGGCCACTCTCGATGTTTTTTTTTGTGTATTAATTTATTTGATAAGGCTCAACCGAATTAACTTTACAGAGCCGAGGATTCTTGGTCACTATACAATACATCTTAAAACTATAGTCAAAAGGTACAACACAATAAACACTTTATCTTCCTCTATCCAAAAAGCCTCCTCCATCAGAACTGGAGCCGCTTCCAGTAGTTTCATTGTATGGCAAATTGTTGTACGCCAACGAGGGTCAGAGCGCGTCCATTGCTGCAATGGACGCGCTCTGACCCTCGTTGGCGTACAACAATTTGCCATACAATGAAACTACTGGAAGCGGCTCCAGTTCTGATGGAGGAGGCTTTTTGGATAGCGGAAGATAAAGTGTTTATTGTGTTGTACCTTTTGACTATAGTTTTAAGATGTATTGTATAGTGACCAAGAATCCTCGGCTCTGTAAAGTTAATTCGGTTGAGCCTTAACAAATAAAATAATAAAAAACAAAAAAAAAAAATCTTTCTCTTGAACCAAGAAGTTGAATTCAGTCGCATGTCAGACAGCATTTCTGGCTTATAGTGCGATCGTAGCATGTCCATGAAGTTTTGAAAACGACAACGGAATCCAAAACCCTATGTGCTGCAGCAGCATGTGGCATATTCCAGGATCTTTAAAAAATATCCCAACCTGATTATATCGATGGTGTGGCCTAGGGGAATCATGTAGTCACGAAAAGGATGCGGTCCAGGTTGCGATACAGGTAGTATTGGCTGACCTTTACAAGCTGAACCAGCGCAATATACATGCCAAAACGCTTTGCCGTCTAAGGAAAGATCTTCAGGCTGTGGATGAGATAGGGTATGTAGAAGGCGATTAGTTGCAATATAAATGTTAAAACTATGATAAATCACTCACGCCAGATTACTGATGCCGGGTAACGGCCAGCTCTTGTGACGAGATTCTCCGTTTGAGAAATTCCACTTGTACTTTGTACTTTTCCATGATGCTATTACATTGTTGGAGATGCGCTATTTTTTCGTCGTCAGAAACTGCAGATCCTCGTCAAACCGGAGATCAAGCCATCAAAGTCCACCGTTACCGTCCGACATAATAGTACCAAATGAATCACGAAAAGTTTTCGCCACAAATAACACAATCTCACAAATAAATTTGTTTGTCATTGCCATCGTTGTATATAAACATTAATAACAAAAACAAATTCATGCAACACAAAAACGAATGGTTTCGCAATATGTACGAATAACGTAGCTATGATAGATAGTGCGCACGAATGTTTTTCGTAGGATTACGAAAAGTTCCGTAGTGTATACGAATACTTCGAATGATTTTTGTAGGCAAGCTTTACGTCAATACGAAATTCAGTTCTTGTATTTTGCGAATTATGCGTAATGTTGTCGTTGTAACTAACAACATGCAATACGAATATTTCGTACAATTAACGAAAAAGATGTTTTATGTACGAAACCCGTTTCTACGAAATAAGCGTGGACAAATTAACGAATAAATATTTTCAGTGTATCAGCACACTCAAAAAAATTCAATCATCATCATCATGTGTCTCACACTTAATTATGCACTTAGGAGCTGTTCATTAACTACGTAGACATAGTTGAAGATGCAAATTTCAAATAACAGACTGTAGTGGTAATTTTTATACGATAGATGGAGTAGATGAAAGCATAGAGTTGATAGTTCCGTTAGAGTACGGCAGTGTGAAGATTGTATATAGATATTAGAATAGCGAACTAGGACAACTTTTAAGGAAGGTACAAATCCGTTTTTTCATCTCTCTTTACCAAACTCCCCCTTTTGGAGAGGGATGGTGAGGGGTGTCCCCCCCCCCCGCCACCACTGGCAAAAAGAGATGAAAACCGACCCGTTCAAGTACCAACTGTGTGTTTGAAACAGTTCTACCGATTTTTACCGCACTTCAATTGTTATTTGAAGGAAGGCATCCAGTCGTAGGTTTGGAAATTGCAACTATTGTTTACCCCTACCACGATATGTGCTCCTGTCATCGTCGACATCTTTTTTTTTATATTAATTTATTTGTACAGGCTCAATCGAATAAACTTTACAGAGCCGAGTTATCATTTTCATTATACATGATTAATGTCTTAAATCTAGAGTTAAAGGAATTGAACCGATTACTCGCGGTCGTCTCGAGGTTAGTGGAGATTTACAATTTTTTGGATGGGGAAAGGGCGAAGGAGGTTTGAAATATGATTTATTATACAAATATTTAATATATCCTAAAACATGAACTTATTTCTATTCATCTTGAAGACAAACATTAAAAAAAAAACCTACACGCACAATACACAAACTAAACACAAGGTTAATCAAACTTACAATCTAAGGTTAGTATTCTTAAAGTAAACATATATGAGTTTCATAAACTCCAGATCACGTCTAGCCAAAATATCCCGAACTGGAACATTAGGTTGTCTACCTCGAGCCCGAAGGGAATCGCACAGCTCAGATCTGACTCCACGATGCTCAGCACAAGACCAAAGGATGTGATCGGCGTCTTGGTAACCTTGTCCACATTCACAGAGATTGCTGTCTCCCAGCCCAACACGAAACAAGTGAGCGTTTAACGAATAGTGATTGGACATGAGGCGAGACATCAGACGAATGAAGTCTCGACCCACATCCAACCCCTTGAACCAAGGACTCTTCGACACCTTAGGGATGATCGAGAATAGCCATCGTCCCAAACTTCCTTCAATCAATTTATTTTGCCAGCTGGCGAGGGACTGTTGACGATAAATGAAGAAAAATTCGTCGTAGGCGATTTGTCGATCGTAAATATCGCCTTCCATAGCGCCCACCTTAGCAAGTGAGTCCGCCTTCTCATTGCCCGGAATCGAGCAATGAGATGGGACCCATGCAAAGGTGATGACAAAAGATCTTAAAGATAAAGCACTTAAAAGCTCTCGTATTTTCATGAGAAAATACGCGGAGTGCTTTACCGGCCTCATAGAGCGAATAGCCTCGACAGAACTGAGACTATCCGTAAAAATAAAATAATGATCTGGTGCAAGTGAGGCGATCGTTTCTAGCGTATAATATATTGCCGCCAGTTCAGCAACATATACGGAACAAGGAGCTTGAAGCATTCGAGAGGCGCTATGAAATTCGTTAAAAATACCAAAACCAGCGGACGACTCTATTAGTGATCCATCTGTGAAGAACGATCTTGCGGAATCAACTTGGCCAAACTTTGCAGCGTAAATTAACGGAACAATCATGGAACGATGATGTTCTGGGATTCCACGAATCTCCCGCGTCATAGATAAATCAAAACTAACTGATTTGCCGAAGTCGGAGAAGCATACACGATGGGGATTATGCTGTGAAGGGCTGACATCCTGAGTTATGTACACGTAGTACAATGACATAAAACGAGTTTGAGGGTTTAGCTCAAGAAGCTTCTCAAAGTTTTCGATTACCAGTGGGTTCATAACTTCACAACGGGTGAGGAGCCTAAGGGACAATTCCGAAAACCGATCCGATAGTGGCAACATGCCCGCCAACACTTCGAGACTCATCGTATGAGTCGAGTGCATGCATCCTAACGCGATACGAAGACAACGATACTGGATACGTTCCAGTTTGATGATGTGAGTTTTAGCCGCCGACTGGAAGTAAAATCTACCGTACTCTAAAACCGATAAAATCGTTGTCCGGTACAACGTTAGAAGATCTTGCGGATGAGCTCCCCACCACGTTCCGGTAATTGTTCGGAGAAAATTGATCCTTTGTTGGCATTTTCGTCTCAGATACTCAATGTGGGATCTCCAGGTGCATTTTGAATCGAACCAGACCCCGAGATATTTAAAAGACATGGAATGAGTGATCGGCTTACCCAAAAGTTGAAGCTTCGGTTGTGCTGGGCTATGCTTCCTAGAAAAAACGACCAACTCAGTTTTCTCCGTGGAGAATTCGATACCTAGCTGGATAGCCCAAGTAGACAAATTGTCTAAGGTATCCTGTAAGGGTCCTTGCAGGTTGACCTCTTTGGGCCCTGTCATAGACACTACGCCATCATCTGCAAGTTGTCTCAACGTGCAGTTGTCACTTAGACAATTGTCAATTTCTCTGACATAGAAATTGTACAAAAGGGGG